TCGGTATATATCATGTCCATTGCAACGGCCACAAATATGATAGGGAAGTTTGCGTGACTACAAACTTATCTTTAGTCTCAGCCGTAAACTTACGAATTGACGGTTATAGTAGCTATCACTCGAGAGATATACTATTCTGCCCTCTATGGGCCCTCCCCGCCCATATAGTTTTAGTCGTATAAACCTCAACTTTATAAATATTCTATTTAAGATCCCTATACCTCTCTAAATGAGTTATTTATCATCGAGTATCTTCTGGAGTAGAAACCGAAAGAAAAACGTATAGTTACTGAAATATTATATTTATTTAAGATTATTCTCTTTTTGAATAGGTTATATAGTATCTCAGTAGATAAATATAATGATAATATATATAGTTGTAGATATACTATATTAAAATATATATTTGTAATGATATATTAATATTATATCGCCATCTATTATAGTATATCCTTATAAAGATATTATAAATATCTTTTATATTATACTCCTATATAGAACATCTAATTATTAATATCCTTATATAGATATTATATTATCTCTATATATATTATATTCAACTTAATTTATAACACTATACATTATATAGTCCCTACGCATTAACATTCATTTATTTGATTATTACTTGAGCCGATCCTTATATGTATAATTGGCTAATAGGTCTTTCATACATTTATGAAGGTTCATACATCCCTTTTATATCCTATATTATTTGGTTGTAGTCAGGATATACGTCTTAATAGCCATGTGTAAATGCCTAGTATATCACACAGAAGTTGTCTTACTATATCTATTACATACACTACTTTATAGTGTCATGTATAGAAGTTCTATGTATCCTTACGTCAACGTCCTTATGCTGTCTATACATGTCATACATAAACTTCTTGATTTACTCTAACGTAAGACGTATCATTAGACGTCTTTGGGAATCTTTATGTATCATATTAAGACGCGGTTATGTTTTTTAATCATATCTATATCTCTCTCATATTGTGTGATATCCCTGACATATAAACTTGACGCTTTTGTCTTGACTCTATCTCCTTGGAATATTCTTTACTGTGTCTTAGGTTAAGTGAAATGTCATCTTACCTGTTTAGCTATAGTTTAAGAATATTCTATATTTACCACTGTTCTTAGGGTATAGAAGATTCATACATACCTGTTTACTCAGAGCTATCCATATAGAATTATTACTATTTGAACCTGTTCTTATAGAGTGAATATATCTTATACCTGGTAAATTCAATATAGGGTTATGATATTTTTTACCTGTTCTTTATAGGTTTATAAATATATACTTTACCTTATGTTCTTATTATTATATATATCTCTTAGGTTATGAATTATTCTTGACTATGTTCTTTAGCGTATAGAATATTCTTTTATCTAGTTAGAGTACATTACGAAGCAAATCATATCCCACAATCTACATACTACCTCATCCGACATACAGAACATATCAGCACAATAAAATATCACCATACCTACTACCCTGCTACTTCATCCATAGACACGTACTCAAGAACTATACAACACAAACCTGTTCTAGGTAGAATATTCTTATCTCTCTTACTAGAATAATGCTAACTTACTAGCAATCTTAGAGCTTATATTATCTTTTATCACTGTTTATTACTTGTTAGAATATTCTTTACCTGTTCTTACCTAGGGACCTTCATAATAACGATTTCTCTATATATTATCTCTCCTCTATCTCTACCTACGTTTTGTGTCCTTAGAATATTCTAGTTAAATTACCTGTTCTGTTCGTAAGGGTAACCGCAGTGCCCGTGGTGTCTCTCTTCGAGTCTATTAATTCTTTACCTGTTCTTGTCTTAGTATCGACCATTATATACTCTGAACACCTTTATAACCATCACCTAAGTACTGGCCCACCTCTCTATCCATTACCCTCAGTTCGATAGTTTTTGTATACTTCATCAAGAAATATAACAATTCATATTAACCCTGTATCCCTACTAGCAGTCACGAAAACTACGGTTTAAACACTACTCTATCTCTCTTAATATTCTTCCCTCTATTATTATTTACGCTAAGACAACACCATTCACTACACTTTACCTTAGACCATTATATTATCAACAACACACTACCACACCTAAACAACCATTTCAAACCAACGTCTTAAAAATAAAATTACCTAAAACCCGTTAAATATTAAGTTGTACGTTATAATGAAACACTATGATACTAAACCCTCACCTCAAACCGTCACTACTTGCCTTTTCATCCACTGCACTGGTAAGCTCGTTCGTCATTAGTATATATAGGTATCCTACCTATTCTTTACCCTAATTCTTATCAGTAGGAAATTTTAACTCTAAATTTACGTTATCGGGAAATTCTAAATTTACGTCCGGAAACCTCTTAAATTTTACGTAGGTAAGAAACATTAAAATTTAATTTACGTTGGTATAGAAGCTTCTTAGCAACCTTTACTTAGACAGGCTTCTAAGTGTAAAAGTAAAGAACGGTATAAAGTGTTGACTGTAACGGGAAACTGGCACGCTAAAAAATTCATACAACCACGCACTCTGGGATGAACCGAAAGTCACGTAAGAGCCTGTTACTTCATATATTATAGTTTACTCGTGCGGGCAGTAAACCTCTAACTTACGTAAATAGAAACCTAAATTTACTCGATTAATAATGTGGGAAACTTCCTTAAACTTTACGTAGGACACTTTCGTACTTAATATATGCCTCCTACGTCGGAAAAAACCCGTTAAAACTAAATTTACTGTAAGAAGACCACCCATAAAGTGACATAAAATGTACCTGTATGCGAAACTCATCTTTTCAGTGTGTTTTTCTTGCCCTTCCCTTCGTTGTTACGGGAATTGCCTAAAATAAGAACCTTCTCCTTCACCCCAATTTACTTAAGACTTTCTAACTTTACGTCTGTGAAAAGCTCAACTGATCTTTACCAGCATCGCCGAAACAAACCTACTCTAAATATCTAAACAATACGAATAACTTTAATATTTTATACGTCGGAAACTCCTAAATTTAACTACTGTTATAAGTTTAATAAGAACTTTAACTTAAATTTATATAAGACTAACTATTCTAAATTTTTATATGTAAGCTAAACCCTTAAATTTCGTACCTGACACTTCTAACTTACGTAGGAAACCGTACCATTTACGGGAAGGAAAAAAAAACCCCTTGCTAACTTTTACGTCAGAACCTTGCTTAAATTTACTTAAGAAACTCCTTAAATCTACTTAAGACACTTGCCAAACACCCCACCTCACCGCCCTGCCTCTCTCCCCCCAGTGCGGTGGTGCTCTCTCTAGTAAATAGGATCCCCATTCTTTAGCTGTATCTCTACGTAGGAAATATCTTACACTTTATACCAATTATATTAATAATGAATTTTTATATCATGGTAGGAAATTCTAAATTTACGTAGGAGACACTCTACATTTACGTTATACAATTACTAAACACATAACATATAAATTTCGGTGATACATCCTAATAAAATTTACTAAAATAAATCCAATTTCGCCTAATTTTACTAAGAAACTCCTAATTATACTTCGGAGAATTAATAATAATATATATATAAACTATATTATAAATAATAATAACTCTCTAATAAATTAAACTAGTCTGTGAATGAAAACCTAAATGTTTAATCTAATAAAGAATCCTAATTATCTAATAATAATATTACCTATAAGACTTCTAAATAAATATAAAAATTACCCGTATGCGAAACTTCCTTATAACTTATTACTACGGAAACCTACAACATTACGTAAGAAACTCCTAGATTACTTAAAGACACGTTCTAAAATTACTTGAAGAAACTCCTAAATCTACTTAAGACACTTCCAAAAAACAACCTGCCTACTCACCTATAGCCGCCCTCGCCTCTCTCCCCCCAGTGCGTGGTGCCTCTTATAACCTGGCGATCCTATTCTTTAGCTATATTTTCTTACGTAGGAAATAAATTTGCCATTTAAATACATATAATTTACGTCGGTATATAATACCAAACTATACCACTAAATATTTAACGCAAAGGACATCTTCTTTAAAATATATTCACATATGTTATGAGTGAGGAAACCTTGAAATATTTACGTTATATAAAATTATATTTAACGAAACCTTCTAAAATTACGTAAAGAAACTTCTAAATT